CCAAGCCCAACCCGAAGGCCTCAATTTGCCCTCCCTTTCCAGTGGGGGGGGGGGGGATCGGGGAACATCGACAAAAACACGCATGGAACCCATAACCCCCCCAACCCGAAATTCGGGTCTTCGGGTTGGGTTGGGGTGGTCTGGTAGGTGGTCAGGATGGAGGCTGAGGGGATGACGCAAATGACCACTCCGTGCCCAAGGGCACGGTGCCCAAGGGCACGGTGCCCAAGGACCTGGGGGCACGCCCACTCCGTGCCCAAGGGCACGGTGGCAGCTCCACACACTGCTACGAATGCGAATAGCACTGCCATTTCTCGTACAGTCGGGGCGCTGAGAAGGTCCTCCTCCTCCTCCTCCTCCTCCTCCTCCTCCTCCTCCTCCTCCTCCTCCTCCTCCTCCTGTTCGTTGGGGAGAGGCTCAGTGTTTGTCAGCTGGTTTGCAGTCTGCCCGCGGTTTTCCTTAGGCTCCCGATGGGACATCGAAGCTCAACTCGTGGAGAAGAGGGGCCTCGCTCCTTATCTAGGGTTCCTTAGGTCAACTCCCCGACTGTGCTATACATGCGCAGTGACACTGCTACCAAGACGGGTACTCGTACGAATTCTCCCGTGGCCTCCAGTGGCAACAGGCGGCCACGGGAGGCCACGGCGCGCGACTCCTTCCCGATCCGGCAGCCCACGTACTGGACCGTAAACGATTACCGAGAGGCCTACGGCGAGTCCTCGCCGCCCCATGCCTCTTGAGGATACGCCTTTGTGCGGGGGGGGACGGAACACCCCAACAGTGACACGTCGATTCGTGGATTGTCCGTTTTCGGTTCTCGAGAGGGCGCCGTGGCCGTTGTTTTCCAGGCTTGCGCCCGCCAGGTTTGGGCCTCAGGTCGTTTCACGAAACCACGTTTTACGAAAGGGGGGTCTGTCCATCCCCGATTTGTGGCCGAACGTGAGGGCAAAGCTTGGCCACGCTATTGGGCCATGCGTTCCCCCAACCGTTGTGAGGGGGCCTCTTGGGCAACAGAGAACGGGCCCCCGCCTGTGACTTCTTTTTGCGATTCGCTCACGGACGGGCCTCCCGCTCGAGACGTCTTCCTGATTCAGGCATCCTGGGCCCAAATTTGACGACACTCGCAATTATTCCGAACACCGCTTCGGAAAATGATTACGAAATGCGGGCTCCATAGCGAGCGGGCTCCCCCCTGAGACTGTCTCTCTATTCGCTGTCAGGCGAGGCTTCCGCTCGAGACGTCCACCTGATTCAGGCACCATGGGCCGTAAAGTGACGACAGTCCCAGGTATGCCGATGATGATTGGGAATGGTGATGCGAAGTCCGGGCCCGCATAAGAGGGGGCTTCCTGATTCAGGCATCAGGAGCGACTCTGGTGACCGCCTCGGAAATGGAGCCTACAGCACGGGCCCCATAGGGCGTGGGCCCTCATTTGAGATATCTTCGCTAGTCACTCACAGACGAGGCTCCTGCTCGAGACGCCCGCCTGATTCAGGCATCATGGGCCCCAAAGTGACGACAGTTACAGGTATGCTGATGGTCGCCTCGGAAAACAATAATGTGAAGTGCGGGACCCTTAGGGACGGGGCTTTCGCCTGATACTCCTCGCGATGCAGACAAGAAGGAGGCTCCCTCTCTAGACATTCACCTGGCTCAGGCATCAGGAGCCCAAAAGTGACGACAGTCCCAGGTATGCCGATGACCGCCTCGGAGTGTCAATATGAAGGGCGGGCCCCGCACGGAGGGGGCTCCCGCGTGAGACTTTCTCACTATTCACTCAAGGACATGCCTTCCGCTCGAGAAGTCCTTTTGATTCAAGCATCAGGGGCCCAAGAGTAACCACACTTACGGACAGGCATGCCGATGACCGCTTCGGAGTGGTATACTTTGAAGTGCGGGCTACACAGGGAGGAGGCTGGCTTCCTCACGATTCACTCGCAGACCGGTATCCCCCTGGAGAGTTCTTCAAGTTGATGATGTGAATGTGTGAGATGTTGATGATGTTGATGATCGTAGTGATGGTGGTGATGATGGTGATTTGATGATATTAGTCATAGTGCGCTCGTGAGTGGTAATGTTCCCGATGGTGATGGCCATGGCTCGCCTCTGGTAAGTGTTCGATCGTGATCGTGTCTGTGTGTGCGATGTGCATGATGATGTTGTTGCTGTCGTTGAGAATGTTAGAGATGATGACGACGATGCTGCTGCTGATGATGCCGATGATGACGATGATAATGATGTCGATGAGGATGATCGGTGGTCATGGTGGTATGGTATTTGTGATGATGATAATGGTAGAGTGATGGTGAGGATGAGCGGGAAAAGAAGAGAGCAGGAGAGGGGGCAGGTGTGAGGACTGCGCGGGGTGCCCCGAGGAAGCAAGACCCCACCCTGGATGCGGGAATTCATGTTAATTGGAAGAAGTCGAGCCGTACTAGGATGACTAACGTACCAACTGGCGGAGAGGCTTCCCCCACTGAACTGTGTGATGAGCCGTTGTAGTGCGACCTTCGTAGAGGTGGTCGGTCGTTTTCATGCGACGCGCTGTGCGCTCGCATAGTGCGACCCACTGTACAGAGAGACTCCCCTGTTCGATTTTTGAGCTTGCGTCTCCTCGCTGCATTGCTCGGTGTCGAGGACAGCGCTGATATTCGTTTGGTCCCAGTTGTCAGTCGTTTCGACGGCTGGGGGTCGCTGTCGGCCCCGATGCCCTCAGACATCGATCCGGGGTAGAAATGCCAGTCCAGACGGACCCCGTCGGGGGGGGGCGCCTCCTGGCCATTTTTTAATGATGAGGAGTTTTTTTTTTTTTTTTTACTTTTTAATGATTAGGAGGCCGTGGAGGAAGATCGCGGGGGCGTGTGGATTTCAGGACCGTGGCCTGAAATCTGTGTCTTCTGAAAATTAACCTCCTGGTCTCCCCTCATCCGCGCAGATACCTCGTGCCAAGATGCGCTCGCCCCCCTCTTCTTGGTCCCCCTCTTCAGCGAGCCCAAGATGCGACCCCATGGTGCAGTGCGGCCAACTGTGCCCGTCTACGCAGCCATTTCGAGCACCTACTGTACAGTGCGACCCATTGTGCAGGTGGAGGGGATTCGCAGCAACGTCGTTGGAACGACACACGACGACATTCGTATCGAACATGTTTTTTTCTTTCCATATTCGTTCCATATGTGCAGACGCACCACTCCAGTATCGTCAAGTCTGACAACTGACTACTACGCACAGGCTCTGGCATACTACATTCGACGCGGTGAAAAAATAAACTGCTCACAGACATTTGCGTAAGCAGCGAGATCCTGTCGCGCATGATTCAGTTCGCCGATCGTGTTACTATCGGAGTCGCCTACCCCGAGTCAGTACCGCCCCCTGCCTTTGTAGAAATGCCGATGTGGCCAAACGTTGGCCAAGCTATTGATGTGGTCCCCCGGCCGCTGTGGAAGTCCTTGGGGAAGCACTTGGTGGAGGAAGGGGTGGGGCGTTGGGGAGCCCCTTCGGCCGATTTGGGCGCTCTCGTGTGCTGTCGGTGTGCGTGTGGGGGTGGTTTGAGATGTGAGCATGTGGTAGCCGTCTGGCGGGCTGCAGGGGCCGTTGTGGGACGGTTGGGGGCTGGCTGGCACGTCCTGGCGCAGTCCCTAGACCCCCGACGCCATAATGCTCTCATGAAGGGGAGTCCCAGCAGTCCAGACCCACTCTCTGGGACCAGTTTTTCCACCGTATCCTGAGATCCGGGTCTTTGCAGTACCGAGACGCCTCCAACTCCTTCCTTCCTGCCTCCCCTTCCTCACTCAGACTCAATCACGCTTAGACTCACACCCACCCATACCCAGACTCACTCACATTCAGACTTTCTCGCAGTCAGACTCACTCACACTCATACTCGCTTGCACTTATACTCACCCATAATCAGACTGACCCACACTCAGAATCGTGCACACTCAGATTCATTCCCAGTCAGACGCACTCATACCCACACTCACCCTCGTCCCTCCTCTTCCTCACGCAGGTTCATTCATCACACTCCACACTCAGACTCACTCACACTCAGACTCACTCACACAGACTCAGTCAGACCAGAGCAGATTGTGATGATGCCTCGAGCGAGGCGCTGGTTCCAGCAATCCAAGCGCAAGCCGCCAGGGTGTTCGAGCTCAGATTGCGGGGCTGTCTCGAGCGATTCGCTCGTGTGGGTGCGCAACACCCTCTGCTTCCAGGAGCAGATTGGTGAAGATGCCTCTGGCTCGGCGCCTGCTTCAGCACTCCCGAGGAGAAGCCGCCAGGGTGCTCTCATGCCATGTGCCAGGGCCTCAGGGCCGGCGCCGCCGACCCTGAAAAGGGGGGACCTCCCGAGGGGCCCCCGGCTGGCGCCCCGGCCCCTTCATGGGACCCGCCCGGTGCCCCCCGGAGAGGGGGCAGCACTCCGGCCCGGGGCCGCCCTCCTCCACCGCGGGCGGGGCTTCCCCGGGGCCCCCCCCTCCAGGATCCCCCCCCGCAGAGGAGGAGGAGGGGGAGGAGGGGGAGGAGGGGGAGGAGGAGGAGGAGGAGGAGGAGGAGGAGGAGGAGGAGGAGGAGGAGGAGGAGGAGGAGGAAGGAGGGGAGGAGGAGGAGGGGGGGAACCCCCGTCCACGGGGGGGCTGGGGAGGGGAGGGGGGGCCGCCAGGGCACCAATGGGGGTGCGGTACTCTGACCCCTGGCCCCCCCCCTTACCCCCCGCCGTCCTCCCCCCCTCCCATACCCCCCCACCGTCAGGGAGGGGGAAAAAGGGGCTCGAATCGACTTAACTGCGCCGTGTCTTTTGTTTGTTCGTTCCAGAATTTCCGGTGGGCTGGCGACGACGACGACGACGACGACGAAGATGAAGACAGCGTCTCGCACGCGCCGGAGGGTCGGGGAGATTTCCATGACCCGACGGGGTTCTGGGTCCTGCTGCAAGGGGCCATCTTGGGAGGCGCCCACGGGCCAGGCAGCCGGTCGCGCCAGCTTGCCCGCGGCTCCGCAGGCGATGTTCCTGCGCGGATCGCTGTCCCGCGGCTCGTCCGCCTGGGTGGACGAGTGCTCCGAGGGCGGCCACGCGATGAACAGGAGCGGCTGGCTGAGGGAACAGCACGGGGACCATGGCCACCACGTCGAGGGATCCAGTCGACGCCGATCTTGGTCCTCGTCCTTGGTCCTCGCCGTCGCCGAGGGGCGAGGATAATGTGCGAATTGGCACTGGCCAAGACAGACGGCGGCCAAGATCGACACGACGTTTCCGCGTTCAGTCTTGGTCATGGTCCCCATGGTCTTCCCTCCACGGCGAGTTGGGGGGACCTTCGGTAGCAAATAATGGGAACCTTGCATGTGTCCTCGTAGAGTGAGTACTAGCGAGCGTTGGCGCCTGCTAATTGATGGGACAGCGCCGATGCAGCGTCGACGAGTCGTCCATGTAGCGTCGACTCGCGTGGAGGAGCGGCGATTCGCGTCCATTAGCGTCGATTCGAACGAGCCAGCAAGATGGCACAAGCGCCGATGTAGCGTCGATGAGTCGTCCATGCAGCGTCGACTCGCGTCGAGGAGCGTCGATCAGCGTCGGTGGGCGCCGATCCGAACGAGCCAGCAAGATAGCACAAACGCCGATGTAGCGTCGATGAGTCGTCCATGCAGCGTCGACTCGCGTCGAGGAGCGGCGATTCGCGTCCACTAGCGTCGACTCGAAAGAGCCAGCAAGATGGCGTAAGCGCCGATGTAGCGTCGATTCGTCGTCGATGCAGCATCGATTCGCGTCGGCGGTCAAACCAGCAGGAGGAGGAGGAGGAGGAGGAGGAGGAAGAGAAGGAGGGGGAGGAGGGGGAGGAGGGGGAGGAGGTGGAGGAGGAGGAGGAGAGGAGGAGGAGGAGGAGGAGGAGGAGGAGGAGGGAGGAGGAGGAGGAGGAGGAGGAGGAGGAGTAGGCAGGGAGGAAGAGGAGGCTGAGGAGGAGGAAGAGGCGTCGATCCGAACGAGCCAGCATGATGGCACGTGGAGGCTCTCAGGAGTTGCCACCGAGGGGGGGCCCGGTCGCCGGGGGCTGCCCGCGGAGGAACCCCCAGCGGGCTGGTGTCCCCCCAGGCTTACGGTCAAACCAGGAGGAGGAGGAGGAGGAGGAGGAGGAGGAGGAGGAGGAGGAGGAG